GGGCTTTTTCCTATTAACATAGCAAAAGACTCCTTTATTGCTCTCCTTACAAAATCTCAAGGGTTTTAGGAGCTCCGTGCCAGCAACTGGGTCAAAGACCAAATACAGCTTCTTATTATAAATCACAACATCACTCTATAGCCCTTTGCGAAAGACTTGGTTTGAAAGAACAATGCAGGAAACCGCTCCCCATCCTCAGGATGCTGCTCAGCAGGGGAGCACCTTCTAACTAGCTTCTTCATCTTGTTTCACTGAAGAAAGGGGACCTGGATGGGAGATGATGTCAGAAGGTGCAAGCCGTGTCTGGCATTTTCCTATCTCACACCTACCTCTCCAGGGCTCCTTCCACATCCTGCCTCCTTCCTGAGACCTCACACTTTGCATCCCCAGGGCTGTCCCCAGACTCCACCCTGGTGTATCTGCCGTGGATTCACATTTCACTCTGTCTCTGCCACACCCACCTTGCATGTTACCTTCTCGGCAATCTCTTCTGCTCCCAGTCCAAGCTCTCAAATGCCCCATCCTGGCCACAGTCCTATATAAAACTTTCCCAGAGCACCTGGGTGGCTCAGTCCATTAAGTGTCTACCTTTGGCTCAGGTCATGATCTTGGGGTCCTGGGATCGAGTCCCGCATCAGGCTCCCTGCTCAGCTCAGAGTCTGCCTCTCCCTCTCCTTCTGCAGCTCCCCGCTGCTTGCGCTCTCTTTCTCTCTGTGTGTCAAAAAAATAAATGAAATCTTTAAAAAAAACTTTAAAAAATAAAAAATAAATAAAATATAGGCTTAGATTTGCCCCAGAAACTGGATAAAGAAAAAGGCAAATGTGTTAGTTAGTAAGCTGTCGATCATCGAATGTTAATGAAGCTGTGTTTGGTGTTATGAGTAAATCGCGTTGACTAGAACAGGATCTCTACCTTGAGATCCTTACAATCGTGCGGAAATAGGACATGCACGCAGGCTGACAGCTTAATGTGTGGAACGTGGGTCGTTCCCTAAAACAAGGATCAAGCAAAAGGAATGGTTAAATTGCAAGTATGACTTGAACAGACCCTGCACTGGGCCGTTGGGTAGGATTCTGACAGTGGGGTGGTGCCCAGAGGGCATTCCTAATAGGACACCCAGCGTGACTCAAGGTCCAGAGGTGGGACATTGCAGAGCGGGTTTGAGAACGATGGCAAGTCAAGGCTGTTGGGGCCTCGATTTGCATTCACATCGCAGTTTGAAAAGCACGCACTTAGTTATCATATGTGTGGTCTGTAACTGACTTCTCTTGGGTCACGCAGAAGGCTGGCTATTTTCCTTCTCCTAGTCATAGTTGCTTCTAAATCCTTAAAGAATACACTTAAAACCTGAATTTTCTGAAGTCAGTGATGCAACGGATACTACTGATTCTTGTCAGAAGAGGGATTTGGCTCTTTTCCATTCCCTGCCTTGGTCCCCTTCCTCTCTGCCCTACCTCGCAGGGTTTTAGCAATATTGTCCTGTTCTGTTTTTATCATTACTTTGACATTCTGTATTGTTTTTTCTTTCAATAGCTTTATTATTTGCTTTGTTTTTTTTTGTGGCTATGTATGCCACCGTTGTTTAGGTATGAGCCCCACGTGTATGAATTCAGCGCCCACCGGCAAGCACCTTCTAACATCACTACCCTACTCATCAGCTTTGCATATTTAATCCATCTCCTGGCTTTTCACCTTCCCATGTAGACTTTTAAGAATGAGTTCCTGGGTCATATACTCCCTACGTTGGTTCCTCATCGCATGGGAATGGTAGTTTTACAAGGAAGGGTGTTCTCGACTGCCCCCAAAGCTCTCTAAACCTGACATTGAACATTGAAGAAAAATCTGAGTTTGGCCCAATTTCTTTTTCTGTTGTAAGTGATCTGTTCATGGCATGGAGATGCTGGTAGGATTCCGTATTGCTAAAATAACATTGTCACCATAATACGACTAGCTGTTTGTTTCTTTTTGTTAATTTTGCCTAAGAATTGGTGAATTCTTCTGGTGCGGACATCCGGATCTCTTCCTTAAATTCCAGGAATTTTTCTTTTCATAGATCTTTGAAAATGTTTATCTTCCCTTTTGTTCTGTCCTCTTCTTTAGGAATGCCTACGATCTGTTTTGTGGATTCTGGGCTCTTTCCCCTTCCCCTACCCTGTCATTTCTGATTACATCCATTTCTTTGTTCCCTTTCTCTGAATTACGGGCCAGTTTTAGCAAAACTACCCACATCACATAATTCGATTTTTGCAGTTTATTCTTTTCCCCGTTACTTCTAATCCCTGTTGTGATTTCTGCAACGAAGTTATTTCAGTTCTACCTTTTTCCTTATGTTTTCACATCCCTTTCCTTCTTAACCTATTATCTTGTCATCTTGTTTTCAATGAGTGCCACTTACAACAAATCTTGGCTTGATACAGTCTAAGCTCTGGCTCTCTCTTTTTTTTTTTTGGCTCCTTGGGATACATGTTTCAAATGATTTCTCATTTGTATTCCCAAGGCTGTGTGTTTCTTTCTGTAACGTTTTCCATATTAGACTAGGTTCTCTGTAACTGTTTGCCCTGCTTTTTACTCTTCCTTCAATTTACTCAGATCAATCTGGAAGAATCAGTTCACTATGTTTCAGGAGTGGATGCTCCCGTGGACCACTTGCTATTTGCCAGGGGAACTGATGTGTGTATTTTGTATATTGGGTTTTTTTTTAAGATTTTATTTATTTATTTGAGAGAGAGAGAGCACAAGCAGGGTGAGGGGCAGAGGCAGAAGCAGGCTCCCCCTGAGCAGGGACCTCAATATGGGGCTTGATCCCTGGACACAGTAAGAGGACTTTTCCACGGTTCTTTCCCTCCACCCATCACCCTGCAACCAGGGAAAGCCTGGTCCATGTTGCAGACAAGCTACGCAGTGAGCCTGCTTTGCAAACCACCGGCGTGGTCGGGGATGCTGTCCCAACAGTCAGGCAGCCCAGCTCTCCCACAACTTCTCCACGCCCTCTCATTCCAGGCTCTCGGTCAGATTTATCTCAGTTTCCTTACCTATTGCTCAGATGGTTGCCTGGGCTTCTCAGGCAGGGGACTTTCCTGCCGATTCCTAGTATCTTTTGGGTTTGGTGGGATCTGCTCTTGATCCAGAAGTAACCGCCTTCGGTGGGTTGGTACCTAACTGTAACCTGCATGGTGTGGGTTCCCTTCTGTTGCCTCTGCCCTGAGAAGAGCTTTGGAGTTTTCCCTTTGGTGCTTCATTTCGGTCAGTTTCTGGGACACAACTTAGTCATTCATTTGCCCCCATTACAGTGCACTATTCTATGTCGTCTCAAGCTATCGCTTCTCAGCTTTGAGCCCACTCTCTGTGATTCTAGGTCCAGGGTCCTGTTTGGCCAGTGGGTGCCCTGCACGAGGCTCCCCCCAACAGCAGGTGCTAGAGGGAGGGAGCCTGGCCCAAGGGAGAGGAAACCAGCTTCTTCCTGTTCATAGCTTTCCTGCCAGCCTTGCTCCAGGATGCTCTTGACCCTGACAGTGGTCACTAATTCCAGTTTCCAGTTTTCTCCTCTGAGCGGCAGCCCCGGTGGCATCCTCTCCTCCAAGACCCGGACCCCAGTTCCGCAGGGTCCCTCCTGAAAGCTTTGGGGTTCCAGGACTTACAGCCTCTCTCCTTCAATCCCCAAGCCCTTGGGGCGGTGCGGTGGCTGCTTCCCGTCCCACCTCACTGGTCCTCCTCGACCTTTTCAGTCCCCCAGTATCCGTTTCCCCAACTTCTTGTATGAAACCCCTTCTCTTAAAATGACTGGAGTTGATTCTGTCTTTCTGACTAGACCATAACCGGTACAAAGAGAGAGCCAGCCTTCACACAGCTTATCTGTATCAGTCCAGGAAAGGAAACAGACAAGTAAACTAACAAATGCAAGGGGGAAAATGTTCCACTACAATAAATATGGGATGAAAAAGAGACACAAAAGATAGGACACCAACCTGCCCTCCAGGGGAGCCACAGAGTACTTCACAGATAAAGCAGCATCCAGCTGAGACCTGCAGGTAGGTTGGAGTTAGTTAGGGGGTTGATGGAGGGGAAAAGACTGTTCGAGTCCTGAGACAAGAGGGGACATGGTGTGTCTGCATCCCCTGGGTAGGGGAAAAATAAAGAATAGCTGAGACCCAGAGGTAAGACCGCACCTGGTGTGATTGACAAGGTTTATTATGTTGCTAGGACATGCTGTGTAAAGTTGAGAGCGGTGAGCGAGCCATCAGAAAAGTAAGATTTCAAGTCAGGAATAACCTTATTGAAAGCAATTTTAAGGAGTTTGAGGACAATTTAGAGCCACTGAAGAGTTTCAAGCAAGAAAGAGACTTGACCAAATTTGCATTTTAGGAAGATGGATTTGAAGGAGAAATGCCTGGGGGCATCTGGGTGGTGCTGCAGGTAAGCATCTGACTCTTGGTTTGGCTCAGGTCATGAGATCGAACCCCGCATTGGGCTCTATGCTCAGCGTGGAGCCTACTTAAGATTTTCTCTCTCCTTCTCCCTTTGCCCTTCCTCCCCTGCTCTCTCTCTCTCAAATAAATAAATAAAATCTTTAAAAAAAAAAAAAAGGGAGGGAGAAATGCCTGCAGTCAGGGAGACTAGATAGGAGGTTGCTCCATTTACCCAAGGGAGAGATGTCATTGACCTAAGGTAGGGTAGAAGAAGACAGGTTTAAGAGACGCAGTGAAGTTAGAACGTAGTATTATCTGGAGGAAGTAGGTCAGGCAGAGAGAGAGGAATCAGGAATTCATTCATTCAGTAAATATTTCATATAGTTATTGAATATGAACACACATGCATGCACGCATCTGTGTATCAAGAGCTATAGGGTGACGTCATTGAGCAGGTGATACTCAGATGTTTGCCTTGTAGAACTTACTGGAGGATATGGTGCTGCTCCTGGAGGGAAGCGGATCTCTGGGGTCAGATGACTCTTGTATACTCTTGTATAATTTGTTTCTACTTCTATCAATTCCATAGCCTGTGAGACTCTGGAGAGCTCCCTGTGATTTGTGCTAATTCTCAGGATGTACCCTCTACTGTTTCCAAGTTTTTTCAACCGTGAATTCTGTCTCTGCTCTTCACCATGTTGAGCAAGGTAAGAATTTTCATACTTCTTTCCGTAGCTATAAAGTAATTCCTTCTCTCAAAAGCTTAAGCAAGGACAACGTTACTGAGGATGATGTAGATGAGGGGTTCACATCATTCACCCCACAGCAAACAGTCTTAAATCCCTGTTAGAGGAGCATCTGGGTGGCTCAGTCGGTTAAGCGTCTACCTTTGGCTCAGGTCATGATCTCGGGATCCTGGGATCAAGCCTTGAGTTGGGCTCCCTGCTCGGCGGGGAGTCTGCTTCTCCCTCTTCCCCTCCCCCCGCTCATTCTCTCTCTCTCTTTCTTCTCTCAAATAAATAAATAAAAATCTTTTAAAAGTCCTATTAGATATTTCAGCTCTATAAAATCCATTTTGTGACACCGTTCCAAATAGTTCAGAATCAGCGGCAACCTCTCACTTCGTCTTGAATTCAATCCTCACCCTCGAGCACCCTGAAATCCTCCCCATGGGTGTAAGCCTTTTGGACACGTGGTAGACGAAAATAAAGATATGACCCTTGGATGTCACTGAGTATTCCACTCCGATTCTGAAGGGGAGTGAAGACTACTTCAAGGCCAGCCCTTTTAAACCCTGGAAAGGGGGCAAAACTACTGTGGAATGCCAAAGGGTGCTTGTGTGTGTGTGTGTGTTTGTGTTTGTGTGTGTGTGTGTGTGTTTTAAGGGATAAGAACCAACTCTTACAGGTGAGTGGCCCATGGTCCTAACACGAACGAGAGGGCCAACCCATAGCGTTCAAGTCGTGGGTGTTCAACGTGATGGGAAGCACCATGAGCTAACCCAGATGGTGGGCACAATCTACTGGAATTATGCTAATGTCAGCATCTCAGCAGCAAACCAAATTCATTGCAGATGGTTCCAATGAAGAGAAATGTATGAGCAGACCACTTACAGAGAGGAGGCTGAGTGCAGGGCACAAACGAGGGAGGAGGAATTACCCAGAGATGAGCACCAGAAGGAAGCTGTTACCACCCCTGGGGGATTGGAACAGTGGAGGAGGGGCCACCCGGTGGGGGCTACAGTCCAGGAGGGAAGCCGAAGATGAAGCACCCAATCTGGGAGGAAGAGAGGGACATGTATCCTGAAACCTCTCCTCCGCTTTCCAATCTCCTGCCAAGACTTTCCATAGGTTGAACCCGATCAGAAACCATCTGGAAGGAGAGCCTGGGGGTGCTCCAGGACATAGAGCCAAGCAGAGAAAGGAGGTTGGGGGAGAGGCGTTGGCAGATGGAGAATAATCACATAGGGCTGCTATCTGGTAAGAAGTTCTGCTCTGAAAAAGAAAAAAAAACCTCAGTAGTCTCCAGTGTGTGGGTTTAGGACAATTTATTCCAGCAGACACATGCCAGGAAAGACTGGTTGGCAGGAAATCACGGCTCAGAAGGAGGATCATGCAAGGTCCACAGTCTGACCCCAGAGGAGAATAGGCTTGTGGGGTGCCTCTGGAAGAGATGTGACGGTGGGTTTGGGGCCAGGCTCCTGCCATCACTTGTCACCCTTCTGCACCTCACTTTTTGTCATTTCCAGGTTGGGCCACTGCTCTGCTTGGCGGGGTCATAAAGGATTCTGCTGGTATGCATCCACCCCGTACTACAGCTGAGGAAAGTTGCTGAGAGTAGGGTTTACTCTGAGTAGGTTTATAAAACTAGACATCTCGTGCTGAAAACTCTTACTAGGTCACGTCCCTCACGGAGCCATAAAGGCCTGTCCATACTGTCAGAACCTGTGGGGAAGGAGAAGCTCATTTTATCTGCAGAGAAGGGACCTTAGTCCTTTAGGAAAGTTCTCAGGGTTTGCAGAGGGAAATCGGGCTATAATTCCCCATCTTCTGTCCATCTCTCCAAGGGAGAATAGTGTGCTTCTCTTGGGAGGTTAGAATCCTTTAGAGATGTCACTCTGCACCTTTGAATCGCAGGATACAAAGTGGTTTCTCCCACCTTAATTGGTCTCTCTCTGTCCACGTCTCCATCTTTCTTTCTCCCCTGAATTACTACGGTGGCCCTGTCACTGGTCTTAACGTCTCTGGCAGACCCCCTCACCTCCTTCACCATTCTGAGACTGCAGAGATCTTCCCAACACGCAAGTCTCATCAAATCAGACCCTAGCTTCAAACCCTGCAATGATTTCCAATGGAAAATTCTTGGAGATTTTACCACCTGGGCACTATCTGCCTTCCTTCTCATTATTCTGCAACATCAGCTCTCTACCCACCACGGGTGCTCGAACACACACACACACACACACACACACAGTGCCAACTATCATACACCATTTATTTCTCTGTTTCAGCTCTACTGGATACCCCATATTCTTCTTTAAGATCTATGACCTCTTGCATTTTCTGACTTGGGGTATCAAGATGCAGAGACCCCGTTTGGTGCCCCTGGGTGTCCTTTATAAACATCCTGGAACAAAACCGCCTGAAACGTTTGGTACAAGTGAAGTGTGTGATCTTCTCATTAGCTTCTTTCTTTCTTTTAATCATCCTAAAAGGAGTCTCGTAAGTCATGCTTAGGATTTACTGTGGATGCATAGTAATGAAGCCAGTCTCCCGATTTAGCAACACTCCTGGGATCTCTCCGTTTCCCACCGCAGGGCGCAGATGCTGTGCCAGAGATCAGATCATGGTGGAGGCTTGGAAATCAGGGCTGCCCTGTGCATGACTTCAAGTGGGAAGGCCAGACAAAGTCATGTATTCAGGGAAATTTCCCAAGTATTAACAGAGAACAGAGGCCAGAATGTCAGGACACTGGGTTTATACTGACATTTTACTTGATTGCTGTAGAAAATGGAATTAGAAAGCCAAAGATCTCCATTAAATAAAGAGAGGGAAATCTTTTATTAACACAACGGCTATTGTTTCCTGGAAGAAATTATTCTTAAAGAGATACTATAAAATCTTCAGGGGCCAGGCACTATTCTAGATGCTGGAGAAGAGAGAAGTAAACAACACAGACCATGTCTGCAGAGTCTTGATGCAGGACTGGGAGAAAATAAATAGCCAAGTAACTATACATTGTTCAGTCAGCAAATGATAAGAGCTGGGATGGGAAAAAAAAAAGCAGAAGTAAAATGATAGTGTATGATGGGACAGGGTGCCTATTTATGAGGGATAGTCAGGGGAAAAAAAACTCTTTGGAAGGGAAATGAAGTTTGTTCAGGTGGAGGGGACCATGCAGGAAAGGAATCAGCAAGTGCCAAGGAAGGACAAGGAGGCCAGTGTGACCATGTGACGCGGGATCAGAGAAGAAGCAAGTGCTGACTTTCCGTGGACCTTGAGGGCCATAGTGAGGACTCTGGGTGCTGTGGAGTCAAGGGAAGCCACAGGAGGATCAGGGGCAAGGGTGACACGGTGGGCTGTTTTCAGGGGGGTGCTCTGGCTTCTGTGTGTGGAATGTTGACTGTGGAGGGAAGAGAGCAGCAGTATGGACACTGATGAGGAAGAGATCACAGGTCTGTGCAAGATGCTCACACAGCTTGGACGAAGACGTCAGTGGTGTGGGGTGTGAGGCGTGGCCCTACTCAGAATGGATTTTGGAGGCAGGTTGTTAGGACTTCCTGTTGGATGGGATGAGAGTAGGAGGGAAAGAAAGGAGTGAAAGATAATTCAAGATATGTGTCCTGAGCAAACGGACGAATGGTGTCGCCATTTATTGAGAGAAAGACACAACCAGATCTGCAAAATTGGGGTGAAAATTAGGAATGTGCTTTGGATAGTTTAGGTCTCAGAAGCCTATTAGGTACGATAGTGGAAATGCTTACTGGGCAGCCGTATATGCAAATCTGGAACTTGGGGTGAAGATCAGGACTGGAGATTTTTTAAGGCGGGTAACTTCAGGGTGTATCTCAGAATTAGTATTATGGGTTTTAATTTTTAAAAGACCTTTAGGGTATAAGGATAGAGAATGGAGGAGGGCTGATGTGTTAGAGCAGAAGGGAGAAGAGAGTACTGCCGAAGAGACTGAATGAATAGCCGACATGCTAGGAAGAAATATGTCACCTTGTAGGGTTCTAATGTACCCTTGTGGGGTTCTGAAAGTCACACGAAAAAAATGTTTTAAGAAGGAGGGAATAAAAAATAATTTTTTTTAAATCACATCAATCAGGGGGCACCTGGGTGGTTCAGTCGGTTGAGCATCTGACTCTTCATTTCAGCTTAGGTCATGATCTCAGGGTCATGAGATCAAGCCCCGCTTTGGGCTTAAAGCTCAGCATGGAGTCTGCTTAAAGATTCCCTCTCTCTCTCTCTCCCTCTGCCTCTCCCCCCACTCTCTCAAAAAAAAAAAAAAAAAAAAAAAAGAAAGAAATCACATCAGTCAGAATGGCTACTATTTAAAAAAAACAACATAACAAGTGTCGGTGAGGATGCAGAGAAATTGGAACACTCATTCACTACAGATGGGAATAAAAAATGGGGCAGCAGCTGTGGAAAACAGTTATCATGGTTCCTCAAAAAATTAAAAATGGAACTACCATAGGATCCAACAATTCCACTTCTGGGTATATATACTCAAAGGACTCAAACAGATAATTGTACACCTATGTTCATGGCCACATTACTCATGGCCCAAAGGTGGAACCAACCTGTGTCCATGTTATTCAGCCACGAAAAGGAAAGGAATTCGGACACCTGCTACAATATGGATGAAACATGAGGACATTCTGCTGAGTGAAATAAGCTAGTCACAAAAGGACAAATATTGTATCATTCCAGGTATATGAAGTTCCTAGAGTTGTCAGATCCATAGAAAGTAGAATGGTGGGTTCCAGGGGCTGGAGGGAAGGAGAAATGGGGGGCTATTTTTTGACAGGTACAGAGTTTCACTTTTGGAGGATGAAAATAGGTCTGGAGATAGGTGGTGATGTTTGCATGATGCACACACACTTAATACCCCTGAACTGCACTAAAAAAGTAACCCACGCTAAAAAAAAATGTATGCTCGAAATTTTTAGCCAAAATCATAAATTTTCTGCTATGTATGTTTT